TGTATTGACTTTGATTTCCAGCATCTGTAGTTCTTGCTATCTCCTAGTCATTGAAAATTATACTGCGAAGCCTCTTCCAAGGATGCCCACCTTGAGGAAGTTGTCCCCCTCCCTCCGAAAAGATCTCAGTGGGTCTCTCACCCACTCCAACCCCCTGGTGATCTCCTCCGCCATGAAGCTCTTCGACCACATCCTGAAACAAACCCATTACTACAGCCACATCTCCTTTCTCAGCACCTGCCTACACAACCGGCTGTCCTGATAAAGGGTGCCGACCCAAAACAGTGACTTCTCTACTCCTCTGATGCTGCCTGACCTGCTGTGTTTCTCCAGCCCCACATTGTATCAACCCAAAGTAAATATATACCTCTTAGAGAATGAGGTTGGGTTAATAATAATGGACAACCAGGAAATGGCAAACAAATTGAATAAACACTTTGCATCAGTCTTCATTGTAGAAGGCTCCAAAATCATTCCAAAATTACTAAATAATCAAGTGGCAACAGTCAGAGAGGAAAAATAATCACAAGAGAAACTGTGAGAGGAAATCTAATGGGGCTAAAAGCCAATAGGTCCCCTGGACTTGATGGGATGCATCCTAGGATATTGAAAGAAGTAGCGACAGCAATAGTGGATGCACTGGTAGTAATCATCCAAGAGTCTTCGATTCTGTAAAAGTATCAGGGGATTGGAAACCTGTCAATGTGACATCTTTATTTTAGAAAAAAACAGGCATCTATAGACTAGATAGCTTAACATCTGTTATTGGGAAAATATTAGAGTCTATTATAAAGGATGCAATAGCAGAGCACTTAAAAAGATGTATTACGATCAAGCAGAGACAGAATGGCTTGATGAAGGGGAAATCAAAGTAGACACATTACTATAATTATTTGAGGAAGTAACAAGCAGGATAGGTAAAGAGGAAGCAGTGAATGTAATAGATTGGGATTTTCGGAAAGCGTTGATAAGGTACCACACATTGGACTATTTAATAAGATAAGAGCATAGTGTTGGGAGTAGAATTTTACCATGGACAGAGGATTGGTGAACTAAGACAGAGAGATGAAATAAAGTTGGCATTTTCAGGATGGCAACCTGTAACTAGTGGAGTGCCACAGTGATCAGTACCAATGATCGCACAATGTTCAGCACCATTCACATCTCTTCAGATACTGAAGCAATCCATGTTCAAATACAATAAGATCTGGGCAATATCCAGGCTTGGGCTAACAAGTGGCCAGTAACATTTGCTCCACATAAGTGCCAGACAATGACCAAGATTAGAAACAATCTAACCACTGCTCCTTGACATTCAATGGTGTCACCGTAACTGAACTCCCACTATCAATATCCTTGGGGTTACCATTGACCAAAAACAAATGGGGAGGCGTTGGCCTAGTGGTACTATCGCTGGACTGTTAATCCAGAAATCCAGATAACATTCTGTGGACCCAGGTTCGAATCCCGCCACAGCAGATGGTGGAATTTGAATTCAATAAATATCTGGAATTAAGAGTGTAACGATGATCGTGAATCCACTGTTCACTAATGTCCTTTAGGGAAAGAAACTGCTACCCTCATCTGGTCTGGCCTACATGTGACTCCAGACCCATAGCGATGTGGTTGACTCTTAACTACCCTCTGGGCAATTAGGAATGGGCAATAAATGCTGCCTAGCCAGCAACACCCTCAGCCATGAATGAATAAAGAATAAAGGAAACTCAACCAGACTCATCACATACACACAGTGGCTACAAGAGCAAGTCCAAAACTAGGAATATTGCAGAAATTAATTTACCTCCTGACTCTCCAAAGCCTGTCCACCATCTATAAGGCACAAGTCAGGAGTATGATGGAATACTCCCCACTTGGCTGGATAGGTGTAGCTCTAACAATGTTCAAGAAACTTGACCCCATGCAGCCTGCTTGATTAACACCACATCCACAAGAATCCATTCCCTCCACCATTGACACTCAGTAGCAGCAGTGTGTAGCATTTACACGATACATTTCAAAAATTCGCCAAAGATTTTTAGACAGCACATTTCAACCCCATGACCACTTCCATCTAGAAAGGCAAGGGCAGTCAAAACCTGGGAACATCGCCACCTGCAAGTTCTCCTCCAAGACACTCACTATCCTGACTTGGAAATTTACCTCTGTTCCTTCACTGTGGCAGGGTCAAAATCCTGGAATTCACTCCCTAATGGCATTGTGAGTCAACCCACAGCAGGTGGACTGCAGCGGTTCAAGAAGGCAGCTCATCACCACCTTCTCAAGGGCAACTAGGCATGGGCAATAAATGCTGGCCTGCCAGCATATGTCCACATCCCATGGGTGAACAGAAACAAAAGAAGCTAGAACAAAGTGATATAGGAAACCTCCTGCATGAATCACAATGATCAATTATCCACATTCAGCAGCAAATTCAACATTAGCCTTTATTTCAAAGGGAATGGAATATAAACGTAGAGATGTTTTACTAAAACTATACAAGGCACTAGTCAGACCACAACTGGAATACCCTAAGAGAAGATACATTGGCTTTAGAGGCTGCCCGGAGAAGGTTTAATCAGCTGATCCCAGGTTTGGAGGGACTGTTTAGTAAGGAGAAGCTAAATAGATTGGCCCTGCACTTACTGGAATTTAGAAGAATGGAAGGTGACTTCATTGAAACATACAAGATTCTTAGGAGACTTGACAGGGAAAATATGGAGGGGTTGTTTCCCCTTATAGGAGTCTAGGGCCAGATAGCATCATAGAATCCCTACAGTGTAGAAGCAGGCCATTTGGTCCATCGATTTCACATCAACCTTCCGAAGTGCATCCCACCCAGACCCATCCTATCCCAGTAACCATGCATTACTACTGGCTACTCCACTTAGCCTGCATATCTATGGATACTATGGGCAATTTAGCATGGTCAATACACCTGACCAGCACATCTTTAGACTGTGGGAAGAAACTGGAGCACCCAGAGGAAACTCATGCAGATATGGGGTGAATGTGCAAACTCCACACAGACAGTTGCCCAAGGCTACGATCAAGCCTGGGTCGCTGCTGGTATGAGGCAATAGTGCTAATCACTGAGCCACTGTGCCATAATCTCAGAATAAGGGGTCACACATTTAAGACAGAAATGAGGAGGAATTTCTTGTCTCAGAGGGTAATGAATCTGTGGAATTCTTTACACAGAGGGCTGTTGAGCCTGGATCATGAACTATATTCAAGGCTGAGATAGATATTTAATCAGTAAGGGGCTTGAGAGTTATGGTGAAAAGGCAGGAAAGTGGAGTTGAGGGTTATCAGATCGGCCATAATCTCATTGAATAGCAGAGCAGATTTGACGGGCACAATGGCCTACTTCTGCTCCTGCATCTTATTGTCTAACATGCAGAAATTTGTATCAGCATTAATCGTTTCCAATCTTCTAAAACCCAAGCAATAGCTTTGTTCACATCAGCTTAACCCAGAAAATACGTAATATCAGCTCAGTGTTCCACTCAGAATAACAACTAATGCCACATTCTACTATTTATGAGGAAATGGAAAAGCTAATTCAAGCACTGGATGGATACAGAGTTAAACTCAAACTCCAAAGGTCACCCACACATTTTGCCACTCCATCACTAGTTTCACAAAAACTTCATTTTGCTCTCTACTTCACCATTAAAATGAATTGACTTACAGGACTTTGCTGTATTTGCACAGTAGATATGGAATTTAGCTTGCCACATAAAGTTATGTTTTGTCCATTCAATAACATGATAAAGTCTAGTACTTGGCAATCAATATTTCTGAAACAGAAAATTAACTGTTACAAATTTAAAGTTATATTCTTTCAGGTGTTGTAAGAGATTTTAAAAATGTCATTTTTTGGTTTTCCTTTCTGTTTCTTTTTGATTCTTTCAATTCAGTTTTGCTTTCCCTTTACTTTTCTTTCTGGATCTGATTTGACAATCAGCAATGTTAATTAAGATGTCCTTCTCAGTCTTTCAGCTGGATTTTGCTGTTTACATCAAGAGGGCAATTCAAAAAGTTTGGTGCTTTTTGAGATAGCATTGGCTATCACAGAAGATCACATAACCTGATGGACTACAAAAAGCTGTCATCCACCCATCAGCAAAGACTTTCTAATTCAAACCAACCCAACTCAACTGCAGAAAATTGCTTTGGATAATTAGCAGTGACCTTCAGTAATCTCTCCTTAGCTTTGAAGACTAAAGTTGCAACGCTTCGACTAACTGCAATCAGATCCCAACTGATTGAAGGATAAAACCATCCATGCAAACATTGAACAATCATCAACTACCTTAGATGTGAAACTGTGAAACTCCTGGCCAGACCCCGGAAAAGGTCAAAGAAAAAGAAAACTTTTTGCTGTTAGTTCCACAACCTTCCAAACTTGTTGCTTACGGTGATACATAGTTTATCCTGTTCAATCAGCTCCCAGATGCCTGGTTTCCCTCAGTAAGTTACAAAAAAATGTTAGAACCCAAATGTACAAGGAAAAGTTTAACTAACATAGAAAGCCATTAAATACCCTACTAACACAAGGTCTGACCTACTCCTCAGTTGAGTACAACTGTGAACTACTGAAACCTAGTCAACACTATAAATAAATTCCCATTTGGATGGAAATGCAATCAAAGCTGCAGGCATGTAAACTTTATAACCGAGGTGCATTTGTGCATACGATTCAACCGTTCTACGGAAAAGTATATGAAGGCCAAATAAAACAGACACTGAAACCTTAAAACAAGCATCCATAAATCTTTATACCATAAATATGATCTTAAAATCTGCTTGCCTGAACGCAGTCTTGCATAACAATACTTAACAACTTTTAATTTGTTCGGATAACGATACTGCAATCTGTACTAAAACCAAGAGTAGTGACAAAAAGCACATGGAAGTTTTTGGCTTCACCTCACTTAAAGTAGAGATATAAATGCGCGATGGTATTGTCTTTTGAAATGAATAAAGCAAAATGATACCTTTGGGCAAATTTGGAATGTGGGCAATTACGTACAGCCGCCGGCATGGAATTCGCATACATTCTTGCTCTCGGAATACGGGAATAAGTGTTTGAAGTGATATTTGTTGTCTTAACGTTCTCCATCGTAGCTGGCGAGTTCTCCTTTGCGGTACTGGGAAATGCTCCAGACCAAACTAAAGAGAAGCCTCAATAAAAGGAAGGATGTTGTTCACGAGAACTCCTGTTCTAAAGACGAATTTAGGAGGAATGTTAACCCAACCTCCCAGTGTGACAGCAATCTACGGGTTGGGAAAGTTAACAACTCCACCCCCTCGCTCTTACACGCACATCAACCTAAAAGCATTATAAACCATTGTACTGTACAATCCGCTAAACTGCACTGGGCACTTTTGCGCGCTCCTTTATAACGTCGAAGTTTCACCTCAATGCTTTGCAGTGTTTTGTTTTTAACCGGCTCAACTATTTTTCGTACTGGATGCAATTTTTCATCTTACAACATAAGCAAGTACTCTTCTGGAGAGCAACACGACGATCTATTACGATGAAGCATTTGGTTGAACATGTTTTGCTTCATTCTTTGTGTAGGAATTTGTCACAATGCAAATGACTGGCGACCTATTGTGAAATGTTTGTTATCGGCCAAAAAATGTCACTCTTGCAAATGATCCAATGAAGTGATGTAAAGAAGGAAGTTAAAATCACAATACTTCAAATGAATAAACAATGTGTTGCAAAGTCTCTTCTGTCGAAACATGCAGAAATCTAACTTATATTCGTTATGTTGTATGATTCTGACAGGCTGACTCAGCTTAGCCTCAATGCAATCCCTTAAAAAAAATCGACCACTTGATCTTTCATACCACCAGCAGAATATCATTGTAGAAAAAAAATCTAGTCAGATTTCTTTCGCTTCGTTCGATTATATCATCATTCCTTTATTGCGCTGAGTCAAAATCCTGGATCTCCCTTCCTAACAGCACTATGGGTGTCCCAAGCCTACAAGGACGGCTGTGATTTTAAAAGGCAGCTCATTCTGTACCCTCTCCAGGGCAATTAATTGTGGACAATTATGCTGACCTAGCTATCACCAACTAAGCCCATGAATGAAAAAGAAAGATCAAAGTCTAGATTCTTTCATACCAAGAAAATCCATGGTGCTAAACTTTTTCTTTAATCTCAAAACAATCACGAATTGACATAAAAATAGAAGTAACAGCATTCTGAAAGGGGTCTCTGGACGTGTAATGTTGACACTGTTTTCTCTCCACAAAAACTACCAGACCTGCTGAGTTTCTCCAGTTACTTTTATTTTTTGTTTGAGATTTCCCGCATCCACAGTTCTTTGCTTTCTTATTTCATAAGTTTGACATCCCTGGGATCAGTAGTGCTCCACATTCAAATGTTTTATGTTACTAACAAAGTGTTTACTAGGCCATATTCACTTTTTCGGATGAACGCAAATGAAAACCACTGAAGTATTAGCTTAGACTGGGTGCTCCAGTCTCTAATGTGAAACTTGCACCATTTTGGAAGATTATTACAACAGCATTCCATAAAGTCTGCGAAAACTGATGGTTTCAATTTGGGTGGAAAGGGAACACAACACATGGAACATACTACGTCAAAAAAATCATACAATTAGGGCAACTGGAAAAAGGATTACCAACATGTTTGCCACACATCTTCAAACATTTGATTCTACAGCAGATTAGATGCAATCTTGAACACACAGTTTTCCTTTGCTTTTCATCAAGGGTCACAAGACTTATGGAAAAAGGCTATGGGAAGGAAAAGAATTAAAAGAATGGCTATTGAAAAGGACAAGAGCAGCATGTAACCTGGCCATTTTTTAAACAACCAGGACATTTGCAACTAGCTGCAGCCAGAAGTCCTGGATGGATAACCTATCTCTGCATCCCCTTGAGGTCCCAGGATCACAGCTTTGAAAGAATACCAATATAAAGGTGAATAACAGTATGAGAGGATACTGACTCATTGGCAAGTGAGTACAGATTGGCATGGAGTATGTACAAGTTAAATAAAGACTGACAGTTAACCGCCAAGCTTTGTTTAAATTTAAATGAGACTCTGATTATTCAAGGAACTGTCCCAAGGACTGAACCAGAAAAATGGCTACCAGCATTCCCTCTAATTTTCTTTCCCGTTGTGCCAGCCTCTGAGGTCCATGCATAGCAATGATTTCCACAACTAGAAGTCAATATCATGATCAGCATACTGACGCCATGTAGGGAACCACTGCACAGTGTAGAGGGGATGGCATGGTGGCTCAGTAGTTAGCACTGCTGTTTCACAGCACCAGCAACCCGGGTTTAATTCCACCCTTGGGCGACTGTCTGTGTGGAGTTTGCACATTCGCCCCGTGTCTGCACGGGTTTCCTCTGGGTGCTCCAGTTTCCTCCCACAGTACAAAAATGTGCAAGTTAGGTGGACTGGCCATGCTAAATTGCTCAAAGTGTTCAGGGATGTGTAGATTAGGTGGGTTAGAGGGGGATGGGTCTAGGTGGGATACTCTGAAGGTCAGCGTGGACTTGTTGGGCTGAAGAGCCTGGTTCCACATTGTAAGGATTCTATGACATTGAATTTGCTCTCATTTATTTTGTTTGGTTGCAACAAGCACAATTTGGAATGTGATGAGTGGTGTGGTATATAAATTTCAGTGATGGTGTGATGCCACACATCCAAGGATTGACAGATTTCATCAAATAACATGTTCTTTCAGTTATTCACTACAGGTAATGTCAGGACCGTACTGAACCTGCCTGGGTCAGAAAAATCCCAAACTTTGGATAGAGGGACCCTACGGCGAGAAATATGGCAGAATTGCATGAGAAGCACATTACGCTTATCTCAACATTAAGAACAACTTGCTGCATCTTTTAACTAAATTCCAGGAGTCAAGTCAAGTTGCCTATTAAGATGGATTATTGTTTCTTAATGATCTTATTAACTGCAGAATTCACCTCATTAATAGTAGCTTTCTATCATACCACCTGCCCTGAGAAAGCTAGATGCCAATTCTTGACATGAAAGTGAGAGTGGGCACCTTACAACTCCAGCTTGGTGCTTGTTCCAAAGGACCTCCATGTTGGAACCAGGGACCAACACGTCAGGGCCACTCAATGGATGCCAGTCATATGCACCTCACATCTACAGACATTGGCACCAGCATGTGCCAGTCTCTAAGAAACCTCATGGCACAGCTCATCAACTTACCACGTACCACAGGTCACAACAGCAACTATGATTGTAATGCTGCAGCAAGTACACTTTGCACCCAGGGACACACATCTCCAGTCTGTTTGTCTGTTCTCTCAGCCCACACTCACTTTGAGCCCACATCGATGCTCACAACATTCCTGCCAGTCCTTGCCTTGCATTTTAGTACCTTGCCCTTCAGCGAGAGATACCAGGCTCACTTTGAGTTCAATGCCATTTATCACACACACACATAGGCAGGAAGCTTGTCACAGTGTCAGGAATCCTCACTCAAGTCAAGGGCAATAGATCTTTAAATTTACACCAGTGGTCCAGGCACAGTAAGTCAAGGACAGCCTCCAATACTATCTAGGTGCATGGACACAGTCAGTCAGTAGCTTGGACTGTCAAAGTCAGTATCTTCAGCTCATAAGGGGTGAGGAGGCAAATGTCAGGCAGCCCATGACATGTCTTCAGTCATTCTGCCCTATTGTGGACCGTTTTCCTTCTTGAATAAGACAGTGACAGGTATAAGGGAAATAAAAGTGGATGGCACAGGTACTGACTTTGATGCAAGTGAGGAGGTGTCACGAGCAAGTCTGTGCACAACACAGAGGCCATGCAGGGTTAATGGTGTCAGGGGTTGGGCTGGGTGAGAGTGAGTGAGTGAAGTTGTTGCTGACAGCATCGAAAATTGTAGAACATGAGGGAGGCAAGTTCATTGGTACAGATAGAATGAAGGTGAAATATCAGAGAGAAGGTGGTGGCATTTACACTGATGGAGTGGACAAGATAAGTGACCTTTTTCCTATACTGCATTCCATTAAGCAGCTGAGATTGCACTGATCCAGTTGGTAACCTTGGAAGAGTCTTGCATGATGTGGTATCATGGCCTCATCGGCTAATCTTGGAGGAGTGGACATGTCACCTCTGCACCACCTTATCCACTAGGAACAATTTTCCTTTCTCTGCCATGTCCACGGCAAATTTGTGGAACCATCCAGGGTAATCCTGGAGTAACAATGCTTGTCCAGGTACACAAATATGGCACCAGTGCCAGGTATGCCAATCCATTCGGGGATATCCCAGCAGTGGCTAGTTGTTCTGCAACTACAGGTGGAAAAATGGGATTAGAATCAGCTGAGCAGAATGCCATGGGTGGTGTAGGCCGTTGGTGAGGTGACTTTGGAAAGATGTGTCAGGAAATGTCTCTAGGTCTCGTGGAGAGAAGCCATCCATGAAACCTAACAAAACTGACACTTAGCCAAAAGAAACTTGAGATTTGGCCTATAGTGTTCCATGATTAAACAGTATTTATGAAATAGTCCTGTATGTGTGAAGAATTCCCACATGTGACAAACTTAACACTGTCAGTCAGAGTCAGAGTGTTGGGTACTTGCGCATTATGGATGTGAATGCATTAACACACAGGGAACTGTTCTGAGCAGACAGGAAGAATGTACATGCACCTTTTCAAACTTTACAAAATAGGTAACACTATTCCCTGGTTCATTCCCAGGACAGTGCCTTGGTCAATCAGAGTCAAACTGACTGGTGTAAATTTAAACAAAACTTGGTAGTTAAGACAGTATCATTAATGGGTGTATTCTCCATGACCACACCTCTACCAATCAGTGTCCACCTGCTAATCAATCTACACTCTCCTATCATACAGTAATAAATGTTATTCCACTTACTTTGCTATTGTTGTGAATGTCCTGATGTTTGCAAGATGAAATGCTTCAGCATAATGTGTTATTTTTTTCAACAATACTCAAGTTCTGCACTTGCACACATCTACTAGAAAGTCAGAAATGAAGATGATCTTTGCACAGTGTTCAGTGCCATTCACAATGTCATTGATATTGAAGTAGCTTATGCCACACTCAGGTCTGGTTACATCCAGGATTGGACTGAAAATTGCAGGTATTATGCAGGGCAC